ATCTGGGTCTTGAGAAGAAATTTTGAAATTTCAGTCAATTCAACCCTTTTTGGCCCCACCCATCAGGCCCCTGGGGGCGTAGGACTAAACCGGCCACTGTTTTTGTTGACCTTTGTCCATGGAAGGTCCCTGCAAAATTTCATTGAAATTGGTTCAGGGGTTTTGGAGAAGAAGTCGAAAATGTGAATTGTTTACGGAAGGACGACGGACGATGGAAGACGGATGACGGACGACGACGGACAAAAGGCGATCGCAATAGGTCACTTGAGACTTTGTCTCAGGTGACCTAATAATTTGATCAATGATCTGAAAATCACACTGATTTGTAAACAAGAGGCCCAATGGCCCTGCATCGATCACCTGGTATTAATATCACACTTGTAATCTTAAAAGTGGACAAAAATCCTGCTACAGGCAGAATATCAGTGTTTGATTCATAAGAACCTATTAAAAGATTTAAACATATGACACCTGCGACCTTGAATGTCGAACAGGGACATTAGGTTGAACAGAGATGATTGTTTTCTAACCCAGCATGCTGCTGGCAAAATATCATTACCCTGGACCTTTTGTTTATACAGAAAAAATCATTTAAAGATTTAAACATATATTGACCACTGTGACCTTGAATATGGGCGTAGGTCATTCACTTGGCAATCCTTCATCCCAGCATGTTACTGGCATTATCCTAGGCATCTTGGTTATTCATAAGAAGGTGTTTAAAGGTTTAAAACATATTTGACCCCTGTGACCTTGAAAAAAGATGAAGGTCATTCATTTGAACAAACTTTGTAGCCCTTCATCCCAGCATGCTACTAGCCAAATGTCATCACCATAGGCCTCTTAGTTATTCATAAGAAGTTCTTTTAAAGGTTTTTAACATATTCAACCTTTGTGACCTTGAATATACGTCAAGGTCATTAATTTGAACAAACTTGGTAGTCCTTTATTCCAGCATGCTACTGGCCAAATATCATCATCATCCTAGGCATTTTGGTTATTCAGAAGAAGTTGTATTACAGGTTTTTAACATATTTGACCCCTGTGAACTTGAATATATGTCAATGTCATTCATTTGCACAAACTTGGTAGCCCTTCATCCCAGCATGTTATAGGCCAAATATCAGTACCCTGGGCCTTTAAGTTATTGAGAAGAAGTTGTTTGAAGATTTTAACATATTTGACCCCTGTGACCTTGAAAGTGGGTCAAGGTCATTCATTTGAACATTTTTTGTAGCCCTTCATCCCAGCATGCTACAGGCCCAATATCAGTACCCTGGGCCTTTTGGTTATTGAGAAGAAGTTGTTTGAAAATTTTAAGCCATTTGACCCATATGACCTTGAAAGTGAGTCAAGGTCATTCAGTTGAACAGATTTGGTAGCCCTTCATCCCAGCATGCTACAGGCCTAATATCAGTACCCTGGGCCTTTTGGTTATTGAGAAGAAGTTGTTTGAAAATGTTAAGCCATTTGACCCCTGTGACCTTTAAAGTGGGTCAAGGTCATTTATTTAAACAAACTTGGTAGCCCTTCATCCCAGCATGCTACAGGTCCAATATCAGTACACTGGGGCTTTTGGTTATTGAGGAGAAGTTGTTTGAAGGTTTTACGACATTTGACCCATGTCACCTTGAAAGTGGGTCAAGGTCATTCATTTAAACAAATTTGGTAGCACTTCATCCCAGCATGCTAGAGGCCCAATATCAGTACCCTGGGCCTTTTGGTTATTGAGAAGAAGTTGTTTGAAAATGTTAAGCCATTTGACCCCTGTGACCTTGAAAGTGGGTCAAGGTCATTTATTTAAACAAACTTGGTAGCCCTTTATCCCAGCATGCTACAGGCCCAATATCAGTGCCCTGGGGCCTTTTAGTTATTGAGAAGAAGTCGTTTGAAGAGTTTAACATATTTGACCCCTGTGACCTTGAAAGTGAGTCAAGGTTATTTATTTGAACAATTTTGGTAGTCCTACATCCCAGCATGCTACAGGCTTAATTTCAGTACACTGGGGCTTTTGGTTATTGAGAAGTTGTTTGAAGGTTTTATGACATTTGACCCATGTCACCTTGAAAGTGGGTCAAGGTCATTCATTTGAACAAACTTGGTAGCCCTTCATCCCAGCATGCTAGAGGCCCAATATCAGTACCCTGGGCCTTTTGGTTATTGAGAAGAAGTTGTTTGAAAATGTAAAGCCATTTGACCCCTGTGACCTTGAAAGTGTGTCAAGGTCATTTATTTAAACAAACTTGGTAGCCCTTCATCCCAGCATGCTACAGGCCCAATATCAGTACCCTGGGGCCTTTTAGTTATTGAGAAGAAGTCGTTTGAAGATTTTAACATATTTGAGCCCTGTGACCTTGAAAGTGGGTCAAGGTTATTTATTTGAACAATTTTGGTAGTCCTACATCCCAGCATGCTACAGGCTTAATTTAGTACCCTGGGGCTTTTGGTTATTGAGGAGAAGTTGTTTGAAGGTTTTACGACATTTGACCCCTGTCAGCTTGAAAGTGGGTCAAGGTCATTCATTTGAACAAACTTGGTAGCCCTTCATCCCAGCATGCTACAGGCCTAATATCAGTACCCTGGGCCTTTTGGTTATTGAGAAGAAGTTGTTTGAAAATGTTAAGCCATTTGACCCCTGTGACCTTGAAAGTGTGTCAAAGTCATTCATTTGAACAAGCTTTGTAGCCCTTCATCCCAGCATGCTACAGGCCTAATATCAGTACCCTGTGCCTTTTGGTTATTGAGAAGAAGTTGTTTAAAAAGGTTAAGCCATTTGACCCCTGTGACCTTGAAAGTTAGTCAAGGTCATTCATTTGAACAAACTTGGTAGCCCTTCATCCCAGCATGCTACAGGCCTAATATCAGTACCCTGGGCCTTTTGGTTATTGAGAAGAAGTTGTTTGAAAATGTTAAGCCATTTGACCCCTGTGACCTTGAAAGTGGGTCAAGGTCATTCATTTGAACAAATTTGGTAGCCCTTCATCCCAGCATGCTACAGGCCTAATATCAGTACCCCGGGGCCTTTGGTTATTGAGAAGAAGTTATTGACGCCGGTCAGACCGACAGACGGACAACGGACGCCGCACCACGGCATTAGCTCACTTGCCCCTTCGGGCCAGGATAGCTAAACAACAAGAGATCCCAGAGGGATCTTGGCGCCCACCATTGAAACATCTTCATTAGTTCTATGTCAGTTCGATCTTTACTATTCTTTACTCTTCTTATCTTGTTTGATCGAGACATGGAAACAGTAAATGCACCCTGAGGTAACTGATACTGCTGTGTAGAAAAGATAACCTTCAAAGTGAGTTTGTCTTTCTACATATATACTGGTACAGTACTTAATGTTAAAGAAATAGCACCAAGCAGCTACGCAATATGAGAAAGATCTGTTAAGTTCTTTCTGTGGCCATCTTGTTTTAATGCTCACTCTCAAATTAAAACATGCACATGGACCTAGTAGAACCTACATATCAAATTTGAATAGATCCCTCAAGTCGTTTCTGAGAATTAACAAACTTTATCTTTCAAAATCCTAGATGGTCATCTGTCAGTCATTTTGTTTACCCAATCAGTCTCAAAGGTAAACATGTTCAACTACAGACCAAGGGGAACCTAAATATCAAATTTGAGAAAAATTCTTCCTGTAATTTCTGAGTAAAAGTGATATCAAACTTTAATTCTTAAAATTCAAGATGGCGCCTGTCGGCTAGCTTGATTTTCCAATCGGTCCCAAAATTTGCTATGCATAACTTTGGACCACGGGAAACCTTCATTTCAAATTTGAGAAAGATCCCTCCAGTCCTTTCTGTGAAATAGCACTAACAAACTTAAAATTCAAGATGGTGCCTGTCAGCCATCTTGATCTTGTGATCAGTCCCAAAATCCAATAGGCTTAACTAAGGACCATGTGGAACCTTCACATATATTTGAAAAAGATCCCTCCAGTACTTTCTGATAATTAACGCTAACAAACTTTAACTCACAAACTAAAGATGGCTGGCTGTCGGCCATCTTGGTTTTGTGATCAGTCACAAAAAATGATATGCATAACTAGGGACCATGGGGAACCTTCATGTTAATTTTAAGAATGATTCCTCCAGTACTTTTTGATAAATAGCGCTAACAAGAATTGTTTACGGACAGACAAAATGACGCACGGATGAAAGACCACGGATGCAGGGCGATTTAAATAGCCGTCCATCTCACCTGGATATTTGAGCAATCATCAGCAACTGTTCTCAATGAAAAATAATTTTGCAAATATTTTCATGTGCGGAGTCTTCTTGGCATAAGAATGAAACTTTATACTACTCTATCCCATCATGCTACTAGCCAAATATCATCACCCAGGGCCTCCTGGTAATGCAAAAGAAGCTGTTAAAAGGTTTTTAGAAATTTGACCCCATTGATCATGACCTTGGAAGTAGGCCAAGGTCATTTCTTTCGGGAAAATTAATAGCACTTCATGCCAGGCACCTACTGGACAACTATCATCACCCTGGGACTTATGGTTATTCAGAAGTTATTTAAAGGTTTTAATTTATTTCATGTCTGCAACCTTGAAAATAAGTCAAGGTCATTTATTTGAGGAAACTTTATAGCACTCTGTCTCAGGTACTTACTGGCCAAATATCATGGTCATAGGGCTTCCAGTTCTTAAGAAGAAGTCATTCAAATAAAAAGTTGACGGACAACGGACGGATGACAGACAATACACCATACCACTATTTCAACCGGCACCTCGTGTCAGGTAAGCTAAAAATGATATTACCAACCGGCACCTCGTGTCAGGTAGGCTAAAAATGATATTACCAACCGGCACCTCGTGTCAGGTAAGCTAACAATGATATTACCAACCGTCACCTCGTGACAGGTAAGCTAAAAATGATATTACCAAACCATTGAGGACTTACCTGGGTGACAGATAGAAAACCAATGAAGTTTCTTTAATTCTAATGAACTTAAAAGTTACCTTCCGTCAGGGTGGTAGTACTTACCTTTTGATAATGAGTCTGTATAATACTGCAGTTGATACTATCTTTAAATTACTTAATACCTGGTGATAGAAACAAATATGCTTATTAGAACCAACCTGACCCTTGAGTATTTCTTTACCTAGCTTTTACATAATGTTGTAATCCCATTTCTAGCAAAAAATACAAAATGAATTATAGCATAGATTATCCTCAAGTTTTCAATCAGTTGAATTTCTTTGTTAACATTGGGTGTCATACAGTGTCTGCATACTCAATATTTTTATCATGGATAAGTAGTAGCACAAACATTTCTTTGATAACACTGCTGTAACACAAACTTCAAACAAACTGTATAGCCTAGCATTCCAGCAAAATAAAGGAAAGAAAACTGATTGCCCCTGATATACAATATTGCTGCTCTCACCCACACTGTACCTGATGTAACACACTCCCCTCACCCAAAATGTGCCAGATGTATCACCCTGCCCTCAACCATAATATACCTGATGTATCATCCTGCCCTCAACCATAATTTACCTGATGTATCATCCTGCCCTCCCCGACACTGTACCTAATGTAACACCCTGCCCTCAACCATATTGTACGTGATGTATCATCCTGCCCTCAACCATAATTTACCTGATGTATCATCCTGCCCTTAACCATAATGTACCTGATGTATCATCCTGCTCTCAACCATAATGTACCTAATGTATCATCATGCCCTCCCCGTAACTGTACCTGATGTAACACCCTGCCCTCCCCCATAATATACCTAATGTAACACCCTACCCTCCCCCAAACTGTACATAATGTCACACCCTGACATCCCCCACAATGTACCTAATGTAACACCCTGCCCTCCCCAAAACTGTACCTAATGTAACACCCTGCCCTCCAACACACTGAACCTGATGTAACACCCTGCCCTCCCCAAAACTGTACATAATGAAACACCCTGCCCTCCCCCAAACTGTACCTAATGTTACACCTTTCCCTCCCCCAAACTGTACTTGATGCAAAATCTCTGTCCTTCCCTACAACGTACCTGATGTAACACCCTTCCCTCCCAAAAATGTACCTAATGTAACACCCTTCCCTCCCCAAACTTTATCTAATGTAACACCCTGCCCTCTCCCACACTGTACCTGATGAATCTCCCTACCCTCCCTCACACTGTACCTGATATAACACCCTGCTCTCCCCAGACACTGTACTTGATGTATCACCCTACCCTCCCTCACAATGCACCTAATGTAACACCCTGCCCTCTCCCAAACTGTACCTGATGTATCACCCTGCCCTTCCCACACTGTACTTGAAGCAAAATCTCTGCCCTTCCCTACAATGTACCTGATGTAACATCCTTCCCTCCCCACACTGTACCTAATGTAACACCCTTCCCTCCCCACACTGTACCTGATGTAACATCCTTCCCTCGAGCTACCCCACACTGTACCTAATGTAACACCCTTCTCTCCCCCACACTGTACTTGATGTATCACCCTACCTTCCCTCACACTGTACCTGATCAAACACCCTGCTCTCCCCCCAAACTGTACCTGATGTATCACCCTCCCCTCCCCCAAACTGTACCTGATGTAACACCCTGCCCTCCCCAACACTGTACTTGATGTAAAATCTCTGCCCTTCCCTACAATGTACCTGATGTAACACCCTGCCCACCCCAAAACTGTACCTGATGTAACATCCTTCCCTCAAGCTCCCCCACACTGTACCTAATGTAACTCCCTTCCCTCCCCCACACTGTACCTGATGTAACACCCTTCCCTCCCCCGCACTGTACCTAATGTTACACCTTTCCCTCCCCCAAACTGTACTTGATGCAAAATCTCTGTCCTTCCCTACAACGTACCTGATGTAACACCCTTCCCTTCCAAAACTGTACCTAATGTAACACCCTTCCCTCCCCACACTTTATCTAATGTAACACCCTGCCCTCTCCCACACTGTACCTGATGAATCTCCCTACCCTCCCTCACACTGTACCTGATATAACACCCTGCTCTCCCCAGACACTGTACCTGATGTATCACCCTAACCTCCCTCACAATGCAGCTAATGTAACACCCTGCCCTCTCCCAACCTGTACCTGATGTATCACCCTGCCCTTCCCACACTGTACTTGATGCAAAATCTCTGCCCTTCCCTACAATGTACCTGATGTAACACCCTTCCCTACAATGTACCTGATGTAACATCCTTCCCTCCCCACACTGTACCTAATGTAACACCCTTCCCTCCCCACACTGTACCTGATGTAACACCCTTCCCTCGAGCTACCCCACACTGTACCTGATGTAGCACCCTTCCCTCCCCCACACTGTACCTGATGTAACACCCTTCCCTCCCCACACTGTATCTAATGTAACACCCTGCCCACCCCAAAACTGTACCTGATGTAACACCCTTCCCTCCCCACACTGTATCTAATGTAACACCCTTCCATCCCTCACACTGTACCTGATGTAACACCCTTCCCTCTCCAACACTGTACCTGATGTATCACCCAATCCTCCCTCACATTGTACCTGATAAAACAACCTGCCCTCCCCCACACTGTACCTGATGTAACACCCTTCCCTTGAGCTACCCCACACTGTACCTAATGTAACACCCTTCCCTACCCAACACTGTATTTGATGCATAATCTCTGCCCTTCCCTACAATGTACCTGATGTAAAACCCTTCCCTCCCCCACACTGTACCTGATGTAACACCCTTCCCTCCCCACACTGTACCTAATGTAACACCCTGCCCTCCCCCACACTGTACCTGATGTAACACCCTTCCCTCCCCTACAATGTACCTGATACGAAGCAGGGTCCATCTGTAGCTGCATGTGTACGGCCAGATTGTTGTTGATGAAGTAGAGGACTGCTGGTAATGCGAATGGAAGACACACTGATAGAGAGGGGAAGTGTACTTCACAACCGCTGGCCTTCAGGAGGATGGCCGATACCAAAAACTGCAAAACAATATCAATAACATCTTCATATAATGATAACATCATTCAATCAAAATCACAAACATATAAATACATGATAACAAAAAAATACCACTTTCTGAGAAAAAGATGGACTTTGGGTTTTTTAGCCAAAAAACACTGTTGAGTCTACTTTCCGTGACCTTCCCTAATGTTTCCCATTAATTTTAAACAAGCACTGTCAGTCCTAATTTCGTGTCCATACAATTTTTATATTTCAAACAAGAGGCCAATGGACCTCATCAACTGTCACCTGAGTGAAAATATGATTGATACACAGTGTTAAGTAGATCTTTAATCTTCAAATGAATAAAGCCCACAAAGGGCAAGTGTCGATCCCCAAATGTGGTCTGAATGATTACTTGAAAGTATAGAATACAGTAAAACCTTGTTACACTGCCCCCAATTGTCCTGAGAAGTTTTGGCGTTAAATAGGATTTGGCAATAAAATGAGGGAAATGTATAGAGGAAATCTCAAGAAAATGGGAAAAAGTGACATTGCAACATGTTGGCAATAAACGAGCTGGCAAAGAAATAGAAGGCCACCGTTCTATCTGGGTTTTACTGTAAATCCACAGGCACTTTTCATAGTAGATGTCATTTGAAGATTTAACACAAAGTTGGGTTTGTTTGTGTTTTACGTCCTATTAACAGCTATGGTCATTTAAGGACGTGCCAGGTTTTGGTGGTGGAGGAAAGCTGGAGTTCCCGGAGAAAAACCACCGACCGACGGCCAGTGCCTGCGATCCAGTGGTGGAGGGCTAGTGGTAGCAGAATGTCTGCCGCCATAACCACTTGGCCACCGCGGACCCTAACACAAATTTACCCACCAGAGCTACCTGCCACCTGTCTTAGAGATGATGTTGTCTTAAAAGTGTTTTCCACTATGTTACCACTTCTGTCCTTAACCAGTAGACACTTGGGGGTCAGTCACCTGTTAGGTATAAATTCTGAATTTCTCCACCTAAGAATGATTTTGTAAAAGTTTGGTTTAAATCCACAGGTGATTTACATGCATGTAGAAGTGGGCTCAGGTGACCTAAAACCAAAAACAACGTTTCCTCCACAGATAACTTAATTCTGAGAGTCAAAAGTGGTAACAACATTTACTGTATTTTGGGTAGTCACACGAAAACATAGGATTAATGACATTAACATGTGCAAATGGAACACAAATCCCTCCCAGATTTCTTTCTGATACCTTAATAATTAGGACCACTTGTGGTTAAAACAGAAAAACGAACACTTTGCATCAACAATTCAGTAGCTATTATGCGGGTCATGGAGTCTATGATTACAGTATGTCTGTTTCAATTAACTGTTAACTCATTCACCCCTGAAATTTCATGATGAACTATTCCAACTTTTGAATTGGAAGAGTTCAAATGTGTCTTCAGGGGGTAAATGAGTTAACTGATATCCCCAGACTGAAAAGATATATATTGTGTACATGTATTTTTCATAGATCTCACATTAACAATGATATTCCTGTGAAACATTGTTGACATTTACTGGTATTGAATGAATGATTCAACAATAAGTGACTTATTCATATATTATAAATGATGTTAGATAAATAAATATTCATTGAGTCTGAAGGGCAAACATTTGTACTTCAAAGTCTTCAAAGGTAGAAACCAAATGATGGTCGTGCGATATAGTCTTTTGTTTTTGGTTTTGAGAAACATCAAATTCCTGAAGATAAATAAATCTTCATATCAGCTCATCCATCAAACTATCGACCTTACCTGTATACGTAATCCTTGCTTGTAGTTAATCAACATCAGCAACATCCTCGATACTCCGGGGGTTACGCTCACTTTTGCTCTCTACACCCTTGGAATATGTCATAGCCAAATTGAAGGCTTAGTGTGTGCCACCCTTGGGGATGACACAAGAAGACTTGTTTGATCCTTTGATGTACATCAAAAGAATCTCGCAGTTACGCGACGTGTATCAGTAAAACTAACTGACTTTGATGTCCGGTGTCGCTCCTTTGTAATCTTCAAAGGACATGTATCAGCAGAGTGATTGGTCAGTTTTTTTTTTACCTGAAACCAATCAAATAGCTAGCAGCGTGCCTTCAATTTTGCTATGACATATTCCAGGGGTGCAGAGAGCGAATTTCGTGAGCGTAACCTCTGGAGTATTGAGGACGCCCCACTGACAGGTACGGCCAGGTGTGTACCTACCTTACCAAACTCCATCATCAGGACTACGGAGGAGGAATTGAAGGGGATTTTACCGTCCACCTCACACAGGTGGACAAAGGTTGAATATGACCCATACACAAGTGTCCTGGAAACACACATGGAAACACAAGTTTATAACCTATAAATGTATATATATTCGTATAATAAAACAAGAGGAATAAACATTAATACACTTTCAGCTATATATATATATATATAGAATAAAAACAAATTTTTCAGATCGTCCGCTAGGCCTTTCTGCCTTCCATATATATATCAGCAGTTCCAACAAATGCATTTGATACTTTAAACAAATCGATTGAAAATATTCCATGTTAAATAAGCTCTAGGGGAGTTGATGTACCGGCATCAGTAGGTGGAAAGGTGGCTAAAAGTAATTACACAGAATGATGAAGTAATAAAAAGGTCATTTTCTGTTGTATGTATTATTTATCAGATTGAAGCAGTCTTGTTAAAACAATTGTGGGGACATCATTCAAAACAGCAACTTTCCTTCATGGGGTTTTTGATAAGTGGACAAGGTCAGGCAAATTACAACTTTTTCCTTTTTTACAGTGTTATGTTGTGATAACGGGGATATATGTGTTGAAGAGTCATTCTTAGCTACTTGATGCCATCATTATATTGTTAAGATTAGCACTGAATGATCATTAACAAAGTAAAATAAACATTTGCACTGGAAATTTAACGCGGGTAAAACCTATAGATGATAGTTTTTACACCTTAACGTAAACCACACTACTAGTGAGTCTCTTTACATGTATATAAATAAGATCTTCAGAAACAAAACAATCTACTAGGTGCCAAAGGCAATGTAATTATCTCTATCAAAAAGGTACACATAAGAACTCCCTTCGGCACTCAGGTGAATAATGTTTTGAAGCCTGTAAACTTGGATACATAATTACGTTAATGAATACATTACTGTATTAGAATTCTTGCAATAAATGTTTTTCAGCATATCCTGATTTATTTTTTTTATAGTTATATATGCTTCTCATCAAGAGAAAAAAAATAAGAATATTTCCATTGTTAAATTCGTTCTTGTTTTGTGTATCAATATACCAGCTTAATGATTGCAGATCTTACCCTGTGCAGAGGAGGGCTGCCCAGCGCAATGACAGACACATTTCTCCACAGTTATCCTTCCTGTACAGAGGCAATCTGTAAGTCTGTAAACAAAAGGGTCCACCATTAAATATAGTTTTAGACCATCCATTGGACATTGTCCAAAGGGACAATGTCCTGTGCTATGAAAACAAAGATAAATCACTGGCAACCAGATTTGAGGGTTCTCGGGTTCCAATCCAATGTCTGGCCATGCATTTCCCTCTCCTGTTTAGAATATATACCTGTGGTATATATGTGGGCTGTGTATGCCATGTACATGAATAACTCTTCAGTTTTATAGCATTGTGACATATCCCTGGGATTGAACTTTGATATAACATTAAATATACCTACCTGCAGCAAAGTTCCAAAATGCGTTCAAAATATCCATTTTGAACAAAATTTGAAGAAATATATAAGTATACCTACCAGGTACATTGTATATAAATAATTACCAATGCACGTGTGTAAGTTGTTCACTTGTAAACCATGTTGGCTATAAATATTGCTACTGGCAGAATAATTTACCACTTGTATGCATATCAGTGATCATACACACGTTTCTTTGCTAAAGGTTGTTATTAAAAGGCTCTAGCATTCCTGCCTTTAGGAACTGTTTGCTGAGCAATGAGTGGCTAAATGGGGTTTTGATATGTATGCTTGTAACCTTGAAAGCCATTTGTATATCTAACACTACAATTTTATTATGATAGCCATAAACAAATCTAACTTGTTTTCTTCAGAAAACGAAGCTTTAATTAATTGAATTGAAATAGTACTTTTTAGTGATTGTTGAAGCACTTTTTTAATATCTTGTAGATTCACCACAGACACATTTAAAAATCTGACTCAGCTCTATGTTTTATATCCTGGTATACAATATGTGTACATGACTGTCTCATATATAAACGCAACAAACCCCATAGGTCTTATGCCAGCAACAGTTTCAACCTATGAACTAGGTACTGGATCTAAACAAATCAAAGTTTGTTGGATGTATACTAATAAATCCACATTTAAAGCAAACAATTAATAGTGACAGTCTAGACCATCTGATTTCTTAGTTATGTTCCCTTTGTCAATACGTACACAGATATAGAAAAATTATTATCTGATTTAAACATATTTTATTCATTCAATCTAACAAATGGGATTAGGCACAAGTATCACAACTTAAAAATGCCTTCTCCTAAAAATTACATTGTACATTTTAACATTTCTACAATATTATACATCCCGGATGTTATACATTACGGATCCCCGTCCGCGATTTGATTGACCACGGGGGTTTGCGGCCGAGATCGTCGTAGCCTTTTCCAAAATATCAAGAGCAAGTGGTGAGAACCTTGACGTGTTTTTCTGTAGTGTTCAATATAGACGAGCTACATCCGGATTGAATTGACCCTGTACAAGAATTGATGAAAAATTCCTCTTGTAAATACCGAATCTGAGCGACTTGAACATTCCATAGGCCTGTTAAAATTTAATCACTCATCTCGTTTTCTTTAATCGGCAGTAGAAGTTTTAGCGCCGTTTCAACATAGCGTCCACATTTTTGAACGACATTAGAAAACGGTTGGTCACCTCGCTTTGTACCTTGATTTGAGTCACTCACACGGAGATCAGCTGACAGTTTTACCTTTGAAACAGAGTCCTTTATAGTAGCGAAATCTCCTTGTATGTCCTTGGAAGCACCATTTTTGGGGGGTGGAACCCGCGACTCCGTTCTTCGGACCTCACGGTCGGTGTTGAATTGGCCCGCCGCACCATCTTCTAATCCACGTGGTCCTGAGAGAAAACCACTTCGTGAATAATCCTCTCTTTCACAAGTTTTCTGAATGACCGATGGGTTTTCTAGAGTTTCTATCCTAGTATTTATGCCACAAACAGATGAATCGATGTTGTTCGGCTTTTCAATTACCCTCTCTAGATCTGAAGCCATCGGAGCTGAAAATTCTTAACCAACAGGTGCAGCGTCAAGCAAAGATCTGACGCTAGGCCACCTAGCAAGTAGTAAGTTATATTACAAGAAGATAGAACTGATATACTATAATTGAAAATATAGCTATGATATGTCCACGATGCTCTCAGCTTAATTGCTGCCTTCGGCTGTCTTTATCCAAGGGGACTAATGGTTTTATATAATAGCTATATTTTCCATTATAGTATATCAGTTCTATCTTCTTGTAATATGATGTATATGTACATGTAACTGTTCTATTTCACTTTGTCTTGATAAAGGAGCGAATCGCTCCGAAAATTTGACAACCTAAACTTGTCCACACTGTTGGAATTACTTCTTAGCCCCATATACTATTTTAAGTAATTCGTATCCTACGGACATACCTCCATTAGGATCCAGTGTTATATGGGATTTTACTGTCTATATTACTTCTTTGACCCATTTATATAGAGTTATCTCTGTCTTTTGTTTTATTTTTTATATTTAGACACTATCTCTGTCTTTTGTTTTATTTTTTATATTAAGACACTATCTCTGTCTTTTGTTTTATTTTTTATATATGCAATACCTCTGCTCTTTGGTAAATCTGTACTATATTTCAATTGGTCTTGCTATACGATTAATCTTATATATCCAGTATTGTAAAAGAGGTAGATATTTCAAAAGTGGTCAGATATGTGATTTTCCTTATTTTCTTGATCCTATAGAAGGTCAAAAAATTATTTTACCAAAGTTTGATTCCAGGAGACTTTTTTCCTGATATAATACTGATAACTACCATTCCAAAAAAACAAAAAAATAAATTCTGTTGCAATTATTTTGAGGTTTGGGCCAAGTTCAGGGCCTGTATTGCTCACCTGAATATGTTTAAAATAGTTGGTATGAAGTAAAGATATAGCACTCCATGGTAGGTGCTGTATTTCAGAAAGATCAATCCAGTACTTGACATTTAGAGAGAACAAACTTCAAACAGAGTCCTACCCCTATACCCCTATACCCACCATTTATACAAAATTGAGTCCCCTTGGCCCAATTAAGGATGCTCCAGATCAAATAAGGATAAAATACCTTAATCCCGATGGTCGAAGAGATTTTAATGGTTTTACTTCTGTACTAAAGAAGAAGTTGTTTATAGCAATATAGCTAAATTGTCCACTTTTGGCCCCGCCCCTCAGCCCCCTGGGTGGTCAGCCCCATCATTTGTACAATTTTTAATCCCCGCCTACCATGAATGCTTCTGACCAAATATGATTGATATCCATTGTACACTTCTACAGAAGAAGTCATTTATAGTAATATAGCCAAATTTTCCCCTTTTTGCCCCGCCCCTCAGCCCACTAGGGGGTTAACCCTACTGTTTAAGTTGAGAAGATACTGTATGCTCTTTTATGTACACAATAACCAACCAGCTGTCTATTATTCAATGACAATGTTATTGGAAGGTCATCAGTAATATGTACAGCGGAACTGGATTGGGTCGATTGCTGGCTTTCAGATAGATCAATTGGTAGCGTGATTTCTAGAGTTTAGAGGTCCCAGATTGGAATCCGAGCCTGGCTGTGCATTCCTCCTCCCCCCTCCCTTTTGTTATATTGGTAACCCTTTTACTTGCATGTTGGAAGTAGTACTGGGTAAATGTTTGGCAAGGGGACACACAAACCTGGGTTGAACTTAGTGTTCTAGGAGCAAAGACTTCAAAAAGGAGAGGGAATGCTTGCGACCAGGTAGATCAATTGTAGATGTAGCCAGGTGTAACAAACAGGAACGTCACCGGTTTGTCCCTGCGCACGCAATCGTGCGTAATGAGGTAATACGGGCTTCTGTTCCTTGTCACCTGGGTACTGTCATGTGGTTGGGGCTAGGTGACACAGTGATTCCTTCGGCACCCCTGCATGAGAGCAGACATACTATTATATATAGCAGCTAGTAAGCTTTCTGGTGTTCTCGGTAAGCATTCATAACCATGTTATCTTTCACATGTAGTAGGACGAGGAATAGTGATAAAGATAGTGCCATCGCTGGGGCTCGAACCCGCGACCCTTGGCTCTCCAGCCCGATGCTCTACCGCTAAGCTAAAGGGAAATTCCTTACAGCTGACGTTTGTGAGGCAACCTAATCAATGCACATCTTTTACACTATTCCCCCCTTTTTTCAAACACCAACCCAGGTTCTTTGACTCCCCGCCAAGGGTTCTCCTGCCTTGAGTGGAGGGGCAATGGCACCAATTTGTAGTAGGATGAGGAATAGTGATAAAGATAGTGCCGTCGCTGGGGCTCGAACCCGCGACCCTTGATTCTCCAGCCCGACGCTCTACCGCTAGGCTAAAGGGAAATTCCCTATAGCCGACGCTTGTAAGGCAACCTAATTAATGCACATCTTTTACATATCCATGTACCGTATTTGTAATGAGTAAGATGGGTCCGAGAGAAATGAATAGGTATGTGTCAGGTATGATAGTGCATAGTGAATAACTATTTGTAATGTATTATTATTAAATGTTGTAGGCTTTCCTTTGCCGAAATAAAACCCAAACATAAAAAGAAGCATTGGAGTTATATTTTTACAAAGTCCAATATTGTCTACATATCGATACAGCATCCATCAAGAGTTCAAAAGTCCTGGGTTTGAATCTCGGTCTGGCTGCTCATTTTCCTCTCCTGTTACGTTCACCTGTACAATAAATTGCACTGTATTTGAAAACTTGAGGGTAAGGGTACTGCACACAGTAATCAGTTACAAAGTTATAATATTATGATTATAAAGTACTGTGTAATTGTATTCCTCTTCAGAGTCAGAAGATACAAAATCAAAAGATTAATTCCTATCCGGAGTAAAATAATTAAAAGTTAAACTTCAATCATCAAATTCAAAGATGTCCATCTGGCAGCCATCTTGTTCTTGCAATCAGTGCCTATGACCAGTCACCATCCCTTGTTTAGTTATATGTGTGTGTGTTAAGTTGGTAAGATCATATAGTAACCTGTGTGGCAGTGTCAATATAGTAGGTAGATCTTATGTTTTAACATATTTACACACCAGATGCAGATGCCTGTGGATGTATTAAACAAAACACATCTTTATAGCCTGATTTTCCTCTGG